TCCTGGAATATTCAAGCCCAAGAACTAAGGTGCTATTAAGGCTCTTATAACCATTATAGGCTACATGCTCTTTGGCAATATTTTCTTTTTTACTTGCACTCTTAAGGTCAATTTTATATAGTGAGTTGATAGTGTATATTTTTTACTTGCACTCTTAAGGTCAATTTTATATAGTGAGTTGATAGTGTATTTAACAAAAAATAGTTACTATATGGAGTTGAAAGGAGTTTAACCCCAAACTTTTGGAAGGCTTATCATAATGCTCTATCAATTGAGCCACATCCCAAATTTTATCTACTTATTCACTATCAATATTTTTATGGTTAACTATTTTCTTTTTTACTTGCACTCCTAACGTCTTTACACAATGAGTTGATAGTGTACTGAACAAAATATAGTTATTAATTGGAGATGCGAGGAAATTGAAACCCGAACCTGCTATATCCCCAATTATTATTTACTTTATATTCACTATAAATATATTTATAGTTAATTGCTAGCTTTATTACTCGCACTCCTACCTTCAAATTTATATTGTCGTTAATTAGTCAATATGAAGTCATCAATGAGACGGTTACTAAATAGAAAGATTTTTTTCAGTATAGTCTAATAAAAGGAATTGTAAGTGTATTTAACAAAAACAAAATTCAAATGGAGGTGCAAGGAGTTGAACCCCGAACCTTTAGAAAGCTTATCATAATGCTCTACCAGTTGAGCTACATCCCCAATTTATATATATTTATTCATTAAAATATGCTTTGTTTTTTACTTGCAGTTATAACTTACAAGAATGTACAACCCAACAATTGTTGTCATTTTATTACACTAGACTAGATCACTAGTCAATTTGAAAAGAGGTTGAGCGAATAGTTCATTGGACATGCGAGGTATTGAACCCCAAACCACTAACATGGCAACATTCCCTATTTTAGGTACTTTTGCACTATTATACAATTGATTTTCTAATCAAATACTTTTTTTATTGCACTCATTACTCATAAGGGTCGACAATGGAACAAGCGGCTTCAATTATGTGCTCTAGACTGTTAGAGAAATATGAAAACAGGTCGAGATGGTGATTAAATACACAAATAGCTCTTTCGATATTCAAATGTTAATGTACTAACCAAAAAAGAATTTAATTAGATAAGCGAGAATTGAATCCCAATAGAAAGCTTATCACAATGGTCCACTAATTGAGCCGCAACCCAATTCTACTTATCTTTGCACTATATAAATAATTTTATATCCGAAATGCTAAGGTGAGAACGTCCCATCCAGAGGCTCCCGTTCATGGGACGAAACACTAGCCCAACGGCCCAATAGTTGTAGCCTCTCGTCCACTCGTCTCTAATCAGAGCATGTTGTCTCCATTCTCTACAAAAAATCACCACACTCGAGCGGGACGCTGGCATTGGCTGTCGTTGTGCTCACTTGGCCGCCTCGGAGTTCTCCACGGCCGTTAGGGGCTGACGGCCAACATCTCCACCGTGCTCGGCGCGGCTGCCCGCCTTCCTCCCTCTCCACCATGCCTCCAACCCACCACGGCCTTCTCCACTCGGCTGGCCGCCTTTCTCCACCGGGCAATGACACTCGTGCTAGACCCGCCACGGCCTTCTCCACCGGAACGGCGACAACACGAGATCGGGAACGCCACCATCTAGCGCCGCCCCTCATCCACCTCGCCCGTCGCGGAAGGGGATGCAGGGGAGGCCTGCGCCTACGCCCTCATCCACCTAGCACCGTCGGCAAGAAGGGGAGGCCTACGCCACCCCAGTTCCCCACTAGGTAGTCCATGGCCACCGGCGACGCTATGTTTCAAGTATTTCTCAGGGTGTTTTGAGACATGTTGCAAGTCTATGTTTCAAATATTTCAGTTATTTCAAATGTATGTTTCAAGTGTTTCATACGGATATTGCAAAAATAGATCGGGATGTTGCATATTTTACAATGGTTGTACATGTATGTTCCTAGCATCTGTTCCTAATGTTTTATCTGTTTTTTAGACTTATATTGCAAGTGTGTTTATCTAGATGTTGCATATGTTTCACACATATGTTGCAAGCGTTTTATCAGGATGTTGCATAATGTTTGCAATGGTTTTCAAGTGTTTTTTAGTTGTTTTTGCAAGTGTTTCAGACGCATGTTTCAAGTGTTTCATCTGTCTTCTTTTGTATGTTGCAAGTGTTGCATCTGAATGTTTCAAAAGTAGATCGGGGTGTTGCATATGGGATGCGCGTGGGAAGCAGGAGGGGGCGCTAGCGGTCCCCCGCGCGCGGTCTTGTGGCACGAGCGACGTCTGGGGCGGCACAGGTCCGCTGCTGGGGCGCTTGCTCGCAAGTCCAATACTATTGGGGGTGCTCACTCACTTGTTGTGCGGGCACCGTCCGGCGCTAGTGCCCCGGATTGGATGTCCGAGCGCTTGCAAGGAATCGACAATGGAACAACTGGTGTCAATTTGTACAGTAGATCATTAGTCTACTTAAAAAGAGATCATTAAAGTGATTGAATAGAAATACTAATTTTGATAATGTATTAAATAAAAATAGAAGATGAGATTGGAGAGAGGCGAGAGTAACTGAACACCAAAACTTTAGAAAGCCTATCATAATGCTCTACTAGAGTAGCTATACACCCTCTATTTTCTTACTTACTTTTGCACTCATTAAATTTATAATTACTTTTCTTTTCTTTTCTTTTTGTACTTGCACTCGTGAATCATAAGAATTGATAACGGAAACGGTGATGTCAATTTTATTCTTTCGATCATTATAGTATTATTAGTCAACATGAAAAGAGGCCGAGATGGTGATTAAATAGAAAGATTTTTTTTCTTATAATTCAAATAAAAAGAGCTTCTGATAACATGTATTAAACAAAAAAGAAGTTATATAGAGATGCGAGGAATTGAACCTGGAACCTTAAAAAAAGCTAACATAATGTGTAACAGCTCAGAACGGCAGGATCATCCTAGGGCTCTCTATTGGGGCAGTGGTGACAATGCAAGCAATAATCCCTGTGAAATTTCTTTTTTATATACACTTGGGGTCGCTAACTAACCTATGTTCTAAAAGAGATGTCCTCTAGCTAGTATTCGTGACACCTGCTAGTTATGCATTGCTGCTACTAGCTGTTAAGAGGAAACTGTGCTGAAGGAAGAAGACAAGAAAGCAAAATCCACAGAGATTATATATTGTCGCCACTCCCCAATGGCTACTAGCCTGCCACCGCATCATCCTGTTTGTTTTGGAATCGGCAAACAGCAGCCATTCCTTCCTCATCCCGGCATCAACGGAGCCCATGCATCCTTCCCCTGCCTTAGCCGCGCGGCTGGTTATTTGAACCCCACTGCCGCCGGCCATGGCGCAGAAGGCCGGCCTCACACAAACTCACAAGAGTCGTCACAACCTAGAAGGAGGCAGTACAGTACACATGGCTCCCTCCGTGATGGCCACATGGCGTCGTCGGCCACCGCCGTCGCGGCTCCCCTCCAGGGGCTCAAGTCCACCGCCGGACTCCCCGTCGCCCGCCGCTCCACCAACGGCTTCGGCAACGTCAGCAACGGCGAAAGGATCAGGTGCATGCAGGTAACCTCGCTCGCTCTTTATATATTTGTTAATGTCAGTACTATCCGTTGCTCATGCTGTCATGCAACACAACAATGCAAGGACACGTGTGGCCGATCGAGGGCATCAAGAAGTTCGAGACGTACCTGCCGCCATTGTCGACGGACGAGCTGCTGAAGCAGATCGACTACCTGCTGCGCTCCAACTGGCTGCCCTGCCTCATGGTCGGCTTCGTGTACCGCGAGAACGCGAGGTCTCCCGGGTACAACGACGGCAGACATTACAAAAGATATTCTACTTTTTGACATTGTATATTTCTCATAGTATAGACAACTGATCTCATAGCTCACTATTTATGACACCTGTTTGACATGAACAGTCACGTCAAAAAATGCGTGTTGCGGATAACATTTTTTGACTTTTGTATTTTCCATGTCACTAATTTATAACATTGGTTTTCACATCAGAAAAATTTATGACCTTGGTTTCTGCATCGAGGATACTTAGACCTTGTCATGTGTCCAAGTGCCACGTATGATCGGATGCTAACATGGTGCTGAGTTGGCAGATCATGAAAACATCACAAAATTGAAATGTGGCCTATTAAACCCCAATATGACAAGCAGGCTTAAAATGGGCCACAAATATATTTGAGCTGTTTCTTTATGTGGTCCATTATTGTATTAGATTTTTTGGCCCATTTTTTCTCTCAGATCAGGTCAGCCCATGCCACAATTTGAACTAGGCCCACGCCATAATGTTTTGGCCCATACAGTTTTCTAATATTATTTTCAACCCAATATATTCAATATATACGTACTCCCTTCCCTTTGTCCTTTTTTTTTAGAGTCGTTTCGGCCTTAAAGCTGTTGCATCCAAGATGCTACGGACCTGGACGTTGCCTTTGTCTATGTGCATGAAAGAGACATTAAATACAGACAGTTTACCGTCTTCCCAGAACGACTCACGAAACGGGGGCAGAGGGAGTACAGCACAACCCCCACTCAAGCGATTCCAAAAGGTGATTCTAGCTACCTAGCTAGCTAGCTAGCTAGATGCATCCTTGGTTACGCTGCGTGTAGGAGCCCTGCTGTGCACGCGCATCGAAAACAAGCAAAGAAAGGTATCTTCGGCTAGCTTTGCCGCTCTTTGACCTCTGATTAGCAATGCCTATGAGCCGAGAAAAGAATCAAATCAATCCCTATCTGAGCAGCCACTCAAAGCGCGAGATCAAGCATTTTGTTTCCACGCATGCACGCCACCGTAGCATATATATAGGCCCGGTTCGGCTTGATGAAACTTGACTGGAACTGGTTGAAAAATACTATTCTAGGTGAATTGTTATGAGAGAAAAATACGATTTCGGCTGAAAAAACAAGCTGTCGGTTCCTGGTAAGCCTGCGTGTTGTCGAGCTAGCAGCTAGGTTTAGAAGGATGGTGGAGGCGATCATCGGGCCTCTGGTTGGGAGGCTGCAGGAGGTGGCCGTCGGCGAGGCGCGGGCGCTGGTGGGGGTGAACGCAGACATCCACCGGCTCCGGGACAAGCTCATGTGGCTGCAGGCCTTCCTCCGCGAGGCCGACACCAGGCGCCGTGCCGTCACCGACGAAGTCACTAGGGTCTGGACGCTGCAGATGCGGGACGCCGTCTTCGACGCCGAGGACGCCCTCGATCATTACCATCTCCATGTGGACCTGTCCAGGTATACCCACCCACCTTTAATTAGTCGTCGATTCATAGCACACAAGCTTAATTAAATTAAAGTATACCTACAAGTTTTGCCAATGACTACGACTTCGGATGATGGTGATATATATACTTCCCCAACCCCAATAATGCAAGTATGTTATGTTAGTTGATCTCCACCAATAGTCCCAACGGCCTATTGGACCCTTATCTCTGCTCCCTGATCGGGAGAGCCCAACCCTAATCCAGTTGGTGGGCCCCTGTCGCACAGCACACATAAAAGGAAGGTGGGGGTGAGGGCTCGGACTATGAGGTTGAACGGAGCCGCCATACCCACCTAAAGATAACCCTAATCCGATCTAAAGGCCGTGCTGCCGGCGACGGGATGTGCCCCGCCACCACTGCCGTCGCCTGCAGGGCCACCACCGTCCCCTCTGGATCTCCACGGCATCGCTACCTCGCCTCCTCACCACCGTGCCGAGCATCGGCTTCTAGGAGGCTACCGTGCAAAGGCGAGCAGAGGAACCCTAAGAAGTCTACCCGGATCTACGGGTTACACAGAAAGGTACACATCGATCCTAACAATGGTACCAGAGCCAGGTTACCTCTGTGTATCCCTAACCCTAACCGGGTAAAAGCAAAAGAAAGAGAGACCGGCTCACGGTCTACCGGTCATCACCACCATCGCGCGTGGGGGAAAGGAGCCACACCGTTCGACAGCGCACGACAAAAGTAAAGAACCGAACAGATCCAGTTCGGATCTAAGGAATGAAGAAGGATGGGTTCAGTTTTGGCTGAACCCTAAGACCTAACCCTAACTCGCATGAAGAAAGGGAAAGAATCAGTCTGGGGACAAAGAACAGTTTTGGATGAACTAACACATCCTCATCCCAATCGGAGTCAAATCCGAAAAGAAAAGAAATCAAAGAAAAGAAAAATCCAAAGAAAGAAGAAGAACAAGAATCGGGTTCAACCGAACCCTAACCCTAGATCCCCTTTTTGGGTAAACAAGAGAAAAGAAAAGAAAGGAAATTCAAAAGAAGAGAAAAGGACAAGGGTCGGCACACGAACCCTATCCCTAGATAACTAACCCTAGATCCCGATTCGGATGAACTCCAAAGAGGAAACCCGAATCGGTCGAATCAAAAGAAAGGAAAGGAATTAAAGAAATCCAAACCCTAATCCCCTCCTTCGGTTCGAAAAAGAGAAAACAAGATCCAAATCATAAAGAAGAATGGGATGGGAAAGGAGAAAGGGAAAGGGGAAAAGGAAAAACCTCGCCGGGCGTCGGGAAAACCCTTCGTCGGCGCGGGAGAAGAAGAGCCGGGCCAAGGGGGCACCGCGGCCAGGCCGCTCGACGGCGGCGTGCTCACCTGTTGGGGAGCACGCGCGCCGGCGAGGGGGCCGGCGACAGCGCCATGGCGGCTCCACCGCCCGCTCGCTCACCGTCTCTCGCTCGGTGTCCTCTCGGTTTTGCGCAGCGCTGAGAAGAGAGCGGCGACAGAGAGAGAACGAAGAGAGAGAGAGAGAGAGAGCGGCGAAGAAAATGACCTAGGGTTTCCTCGGGGGCGCGCGGCGTCGCGTTTTATCCGAGCGAAATGCGCGCTCGGCCGTTGGATCAGCGCGGACGGCCACGATCGAATGGGCCAAGTCGCGGCCCAGGTGGGCGCGCGGACGCGCGGGACTTTGCCGGCGCAGGCCCAGGTTGCGGCCTAGGTACGGCCTGCACGCGCGCGAACAGTTGGGCCGTGCCGTTTTCTGCGGCTTTGGGCCGAAACTGAGAAGATTGAGTCCGTTTTTTTTTTGCATTTTTCTTTTTCTTGGAAAATTGAAAAATGTAAATTGGCTCAAAAGGAAAAATAGAAAAGGTAAATTTTCCCTATGGGTAAAATTTAAGAAATTGAGCATACGTTTTCTGCTGCTAAAGAAAAAGTACATTCTCCAGTGATTTTGAACAGACGTGATATTTAACTGGAGAAAAGAAAAGTTTTTCCAGTAAATATTTATTTCCTGGAAATTGATTAATAGATTAAAGGAAATAGAAAATACAATTTTTCCCTGTGGGTAAAATTCAAGAAAAGGAGAAGTTTTTCCACAGCTAGAGAAATTGTTTATTCTCCAGTTAATTTGTACCAACGTGGTATTTAATTAGAGAAAAATGGATTTGACATGATTATGATATTGTTATTTTCTGACCAACGTTATTAATAACAATATCGTAATTTTAATAATTTATGCATTAATTCTACTTCTGCCCAACGGTGATGTAGAATTAGTGTATAAGAAAAGTTGATAATTTTAATGATTTCTACATTAATTCTACTTCTGCCCAACGGTGATATAGAATTAGTGTATGAGAACAGTTGTAAAAGTTAATGATTTATGCATTAATTCTATTTCTGCCCAACGGTGATATAGAATTAGTGTATAAGAATAGTTGTATGTTTTGATTTTGACCAACGTTGGAATCAAGGCATGCAAATGGTGTTAATTTTATGTTAAGAAAAGTTTTGACCTGGTTTTCATCTTGTCTAAGGTGGACTGCGTAGTCACCTCACCGTGTTCCACTGAGATTGTGGCACCGGTGAGGGAGACAAAAAAGAATGATGCCACTTGGGCAACTAAAGAAAGGGATTTTTGAATCCCAAAAGATATCCTATGGCTTTTGAGCATAGGAAGTGGGTCACTGCAAACAAGAAATGTTTGGCGGTGATAAAGAACATGATTGAACCTATAATTGTGGGCTCAATCCCAGAATGTGACACGGTCACCGAATACCTCGATAGAATAAAGAGTCAGTTCACTGGCTCTTCAAAGACATATGCCACTTAGCTGATAAAGCAGCTGGTCACAGAGTGTTAATCTTGAAAAGGTGGCATAAGAGAGCTCACGATGCGTTGTCGAAATTATGGCACTATCGTTCAGGCCATATTTCGAGGGGGAGAATAGAAATACTAGTTAAGAATGATATTCTTCCTCCATTAGAGCTCTCAGATTTAGAACAATGCAGAGAATGCATAAAAGGAAAGTATGTAAAGAAGATTAAGAAAGATGACAAAAGAAGCGCAGGAATTTTATAGATTATTCACACAGACATCTGTGATCAGCTTTCCTGTAAAGAGTGTGGATGGTTATGTTTTGTTCATAACATTCACAGATAATTACTCCTATTATGGCTATATTTATCCAATCAAAGAAAGAAAAGATGTATTGGATAAATTTAAGATATTAAAGATTGAGATAGTCAGGTCTGATCGTGGGGGAGTACCACGGTCGGCATACCCTAAAAGAATGGCATAGTAGCCCAGTATTCTACACTGGGCGAACCTCAGCAGAATAGAGTAGCTAAAAGAATCAATCGCACCCTGATGGATATGGTGGGCAGTATGATAAGTTACTCCACCTTACAGTTGAGCCTGTGAATGGAGGCATTAAAACCGTCATTCATATTCTCAATAGAGTATCAAGAAAGTCGGTGCCCAAAACACCGTATGAGTTGTGGACAGAAAGAGTACCCTCACTAAACCACTTGCGTGTATGGGGGAGAGTCCTGCTGAGGCTAAAGTATTTAACCCAAACATTGGAAAGTTAGATCCCAAAACAGTAAGGTGCCATTTCATTGGCAACATAGAAAAGTCAAAAGGTTTTTGTTTTCCACTGTCCAGAGAGACATACAAAGTTTATGGAAACAAGACACACTGTTTTCCTAGAGGATGAAAAGATGAGGGGGAGCATGGTAGCTCGAGAAATTGACCTTGAAGTGAAGCGGATGTATGCGCCCACTCCAATGATTCATGAGCTAATTTTCTCACTACCTGCTGTCGCTGCACCGACAGTGCTAAGTACCGTGGTGCCAGCACCTGTTGTTATCCCACCTGTGGCAACAATGAATGAAAATGAGGAACCTGTTCTTCAGGATCCTATAGAACCTATTGCCACACATAAGGGGGAGCAACAACAGCCTCAAACAGAAAGATGTGCCAAATGTGAAGGCCCCTAGTAGGTCTCAAAGAGCTAGAAAATCAGCTATTTCTGCTGATTATGAAGTGTATAACACTAAGGAATTTTAAATGGAGGATGATCCCACCTCATTTGAAGAAGCCATGAGAAGTGATCATTCATCAAAGTGGCTTAAGGCCATGGAAGATGAAATGAAATCGATAAATGCCAATAAAGTTTGGGACTTGGAAATAATTTCTAAAGGAGCCAAAACGGTAGGCTGTAAATGGGTCTACAGAACAAAACTTGGCTCTCGAGGGAATATAGAGAAATATAAAGTGCGACTTGTGGCAAAAGGCTATATGCAAAGAGAAGGAATTGATTACAATGAGACCTTTTCTCTAATCTCATGTAAAGTTTTCTTTAGAATCATAATGGCATTAGTGGCACATTACGATTGAGAATTATATCAGATGAATGTAAAGACGGCATTTCTCAACGGATACTTGGAGAAAAATGTTCACATGGCACAACCGAAAGGTTTTGTCATGAAAGGAAAAGAACGAACGGGATGCCATCTAAAGAAATCCATTCATAGATTAAAACAAGCTTCAAGACAGTGGTACTTGAAGTTTGATCAGACAATAAAGGATTTTGGGTTTTAAAGAGAATGTAGAGGACAATTGTGTCTATACAAAATAAAGATAATGTAGAGGACAATTGTGTCAATACAAAGTTTAAGAATGAGAAGTTTATCTTCCTTGTCCTGTATGTAGATGATATCTTACTTGCTAGTAGTGATGTCAGTCTACCACTGGAGACAAAGAAATTTGATATGAAAGATCTTGGCGAAGCCTCATTCATTCTAGGGATCGAGACTCACCGAGATAGAAGAAAAAGGGTATAAGGACTGTCACAAAAGGCATACATGGAAAAGATCTTAAAGAAATTCAGTATGCACAAATGTAGTTCCTAACCTACTCCTATAGTCAAGGACGACAGATATGGGGATTTTCAATGCCCCAGGAACCAATATGAGCTCAATCGATAAAGTAAAAGTGGTTCCATATGTTTCAGCCGTCGAAAGTTTGCAACATGCTCAAGTATGTATACGCCCTGACTTGGCATTTGT